AAAGTGAGAAATCACCTCCTCCAGGGAGGATGGTCATCTGCAACTATTTCTCTCTCCTCTTGGGATTCTGGGCATGCATGCACCTGTGCCCAGTATGATTCTCAAGCTGCTGAGTCCAGGGCTCAAACAAGTTGGCAGTGTGGGTGTCCAGCACCTTAACCACCATGCCACCACCTGCTGGCCCCTATCTACATATTTATATATAGATATCATATATGTAAAAAAGGATGATGCTAACATCTACAGAGACATTTCTAAGGGCGTAGAGATTTGGCCAGATCCTTTCCCCTTTCCCTGATCTGTGTAGGCAAACAAAACACGCCACCCAAACTCCTGTTGCTACATGAGCTTAGTTTGGGGGTTAAGGAGTAAGTACTACCATCCACTGGAGGGGTGGACGTTTTCACAGACTTGGGTATCCTCCATTCTCCTGCTGGGATTTTGGGCAAATGCGTACATGCACTCGGCATGTTTCAAGCCATTGGGTCCAGGACTTGAACTGCTGTAGCCCACATGGGAGTCCAGTGCCTTAACCACCATGCCACCTGCTGGCCCCCACAAACCTGGGTATTTCCATGATAGTAGGAACAGCTGGGTAAGAGCAAAAAAATTAAATGGAGAACTCAAAAGCCATATACTTAGGCTCATTACTTAGTTATTATAATAACTATAACTAAATTGAGGGTGCAAAGTGAAATATAAGCATAAGAAATTATATTGGCTATTTCACCCTGATAAGAGTTGAGTATTGTAGACACCAGCAATACTCAACCAAGGAAAAGATTCAGGAGCTCAAATCATAAGCAAAGCTTCTGACTGACAAAAGCAGGTTGTGGGGCGGGAGGAGACAGGTGTAAAGCAGTACTCTGCTAGGCTGACCCACATGGCAAGGTGTGGGGTTTGTGTTGGGAGAGCTCCTTGAACATGCTGGGCTTCTGTGTGCCTGGGATCTAGGGTTGCTTAAAGCTGAAGGTGAATTGTAGCACTGAGATCTATTTTTCCATTTTTGGGGGAAGGGAGTCAGGGGTTGGCTTTTTATATTTTTCTGATTTAAAAAAAATAAAACTTCAAGAACTTTATGATTGTGTTGTTAAAATCAAGCACCAAATTTAGGCCCATCTAAAATACCATATACACTCTTTATTACAAAGAAAAATCACTTGATTTATAAGGAACAAAGAATCTAATTCATATCATTATATTTAAAATTTTGGTTTTAATAAAGTTTTAATTCTTTTGTACTTTTCATGATAAAACTTTTGGTACTTACATCAAATGGATTCACTTAAGTGGTTTTTCTCTATTGACCATTATCTTTGGGTAATAAAGACTTCCTGTACTGAATCTGGTAATGCTAGAAAGCCACTAAGAAGTGTGTGTGTGTGCGTGCACACGCTCTCTTCTGGCAAGGGTGAGAGTTGGATGGATAGAGAGGACACTAACATTGAGATGATCCTACTTGTTGACTAAGAATCATCCACCAGATGGTTTATAATCATCACATCTAATTCTGGCTGAGCAAGAGTGAACTGACTCTAATGACCCTTGGTTATAGCCATACAATAATGAGACCAGTAAAGAACCTCCTGTAATCGTCCAGGCAAGTGGTAACAGCTTGGAGTGGGGTGGTAGCAGCGGAGAGAAAACACTGAAATCCTTGCAGATGAGAGTTTATTACTTCTTCTAGCATGGTTTCTAGGGAAGGGGTAATCCCAGCTAATTCCAAGAAGCAGATAGTTTTATAGGAGATTGGGACATCAGAAGGAGGAAGGGGCAGTGCAGTGTTCAAATTTAGATGCAGTGAGTCAAGATAGCCAACTAGAGAAAACCAGTAGATACTTGGAAATACTAATCTAGAAGGATTAGTCATGCATCGATTCAAAGAAACAAAAGTGTTTTTTCATTTTTTTTTTTCTTCCAACTGCCATAGGGCATGAGTGCCACAGGGTTTTTTTTTATCAAACACCCTCCAGTAGGGTGTGGTCACATGGCAAGCCTTTTCCCTCCTTTCTCCATCCCATTAGGGATGTGGCCAGCAGGTCTTTTCAAGCCCCTGTTGGCCACGGGGAATCTGGCTCCCTATGCAGTGCTTAAACCACCGCGTAGCATGGCCGCCCCTCACTACACAGCCTGGAATTACACAGAAAACTTCCTCCACAATCATTTGACTACTGACATTTTTCAGCATGTATGGGAAAGAGCAACTATCGCTCCTGTTGAAAATAAAGGTTTTACTGAAGAAACTTGATGAATAAATACTTCATGGCTAAGATAAACATGGTGGTCAAAAAATAAGGAAAGCTAATTTAGCCATATCTATTCAAAATACTTAGCACCTCCTGTCTGCTTTGTATATATATTTGATGCTGGTTAAATATGTAACGAGGGAATATAATCATAAAAAGTCACCACACTTCTAAATCCTGAATAACAGACATCTATATTAAATTCCTTCCCTGTCATGTCTGTATTTAAGTTCACAAATCTAGCTGCTGCTTTATAATTCTTGATAACTACAATTCTGTATTAAAGTTTTGGAACTACCTCTCCCTTTATACTTAAGTGTTTCCTAGGTGGTTTAAGGACTATGTTCCCTGAATCTATTTTCTTCTATACATTTATTAATTCCTGTCTTCTACAGTAAACACATTAGCAATATACACTCCCCATCAGTGCTAACATTTCCTTCAGCTACAACTTTTTTATTTCTAGGTCATATCAGAACATACTTGAATGACTTCTCACGTCTGCCATTAGATCTGTTAGTCTGGCACCATTCTCCCAGCCCATGTGGACTATTGTCCTCTCTTTCCCCTAAAACAGAAAGGATTTGGGGCTGGCAGGTGGCTGACTGCAGTTCAGGTCCCGGACCTGGTGGCTTGCTTTTGTGCTTTCCCTTTCTCGCTCGCTCTGTCTCTGGTCAGATAAAATAATAATGATGATGATGATAATAACAAATGGGAATAAATAAATAATTCTTAAAAAAAAAAAAAAAACAGAAAGGATGCCATGATCCCAGATTTCAGTACATATAAATAAATACAAACCACTCCCCACCAATAATATGCTACATTTTAATCTTTTTGCCTCTGCTTTGAAAATGTATCCTTTAAAGCAATACCTTTAACCACTTAGTCAGCATCACTTTTGAAAAATAAAACATGAAACAATGTATATTCCTGGGGGGGGGGGTAGTGCCTAATTCCAAATACTCAGCAGGATCCTGTTTACTATTCTAAGAAATATCTTCCTAAAAAGGCAGGCAGTTGGTAAGGTTCTTAAACCTCTACCCCTTTAAAGCTTATTTTATTTTATTTTTTTTTAAAGAGGAGAATGAACCCCCAACAGGATCTTGACACCATAATGCATTCTTGACCTTTAGCCAACCCCAGATGCTAGAAGTACTCAGGGAGCTCTCTGGACTTAAATCAGGAACCTTTCCTCACGAGAATATTTCCAAGACTACAACGTTTTCCTACTGCGCGCACCAGGATCCAGCCCCAACTTTTTCTAGTTTAAAACTGCTTAGGTGGACCACTAAGAGTGTATAGTTTTAAGGAGGTACCTAAAACGTACTTGCAGTGCCTCAAACAAACCCAAAGCTTCTGTTAAGAAGCACAACTAGGTTTTATAGGCAATTCTCAGCAGCTAGTGATATCTCATTCTATTAAACAAACAAAATTGTACTTTACAGGGTGACAGAAGAGAAAGGGAGTAGGAAAAAAATACTGCAAGTTCAGGGCCAGCAGGTGGCCAGCCTATTAAAGTGCTGGATTCCCACATGGGATCCTGCAGCTTGAAAATCACGCCAGGCATGTGTGCGTGCTTGCCCAACAGCCTGCCAGAAGAGAGGAGGAGAAGGGATTGCAGAGTGGTCATCCTCCCATCCCCCCCGGGGAATTTGTTTTTCCTTTCTGTCTCTCTCCAGAGCGCTGGCGTCCTATGGCAAAAACCAATTCCTACTGCGCGCACCAGGATCCAGCCCCAACTTTTTCTAGTTTAAAACTGCTTAGGTGGACCACTAAGAGTGTATAGTTTTAAGGAGGTACCTAAAACGTACTTGCAGTGCCTCAAACAAACCCAAAGCTTCTGTTAAGAAGCACAACTAGGTTTTATAGGCAATTCTCAGCAGCTAGTGATATCTCATTCTATTAAACAAACAAAATTGTACTTTACAGGGTGACAGAAGAGAAAGGGAGTAGGAAAAAAATACTGCAAGTTCAGGGCCAGCAGGTGGCCAGCCTATTAAAGTGCTGGATTCCCACATGGGATCCTGCAGCTTGAAAATCACGCCAGGCATGTGTGCGTGCTTGCCCAACAGCCTGCCAGAAGAGAGGAGGAGAAGGGATTGCAGAGTGGTCATCCTCCCATCCCCCCCGGGGAATTTGTTTTTCCTTTCTGTCTCTCTCCAGAGCGCTGGCGTCCTATGGCAAAAACCAAAAACAAAAAAGAATATTACAAGTTCGACTAGAATTTTTCTAGCCTTATGATCCCGTCATTGCAGGGATAACGAGAAAAAAAATCTGGCTGGTAACTTTTACGGGGCCAGACTAAATGAACTTGATACTCAAAGGAGACAACTCTCCTCTTTCCTCTGCTTTTTGAAATTTATTTCTCTCTTATTTCCACAGTCGAACCCCCAGGATCGTATGGGAGGGATTCCTTTTCCCTATCTCAAAACCCTCATAGAAGCATTTTCCTCCTTCTCAGATGCCTCATCTATTACAGTGAAACTGTGAACATTTAATTGTGGTGTTCCCTGCCTTCTTAATTCTCTTTTTTTAAGCCAAAGTAAGCTTAATTTCACCCCAATCCCTGGTTTTCCTCTTGCGACCCCGCAGTGGTTGCCTCCTCGCGTGCCAGTACGCGAGCCTAGCTGCAGCAGGGAGACACGCGCGGCTGCCCTCACTTCTGCACCATCAGATGTGTTCCTTTCCTCCCTCTCCTTCTCCTCCCCCAAATGACCTCTCATGGTGACTGGCCCGCGCCCAGTTACCTACTCCAAGGTGTTAGGTGAAGAAAGGAGTGGGGACGATAAAAGAATGGACGAGCTCAAGGTAGAAGTCTCAGCAGATGCCGGTGCCACGGCTCAAAACACCGGCGCCTCTCGCGGTGCTAAAGGGTATGCGCACGTCCTCTTCCCGGCACCCGTACAACCCCAGCCGCTGACCTAACTTTAGGGGATTATCTTCCGGGTCAGTGACTATCTGAGGCCGAAGCACATCCGCAAACTTCTTTAGATCCATTCTCAGCATTTCCGTAATTATTCTTTCGGAACCCAAACTCTTTGTGTGCTCAAGGTTTATTTGCTCTAAAGATACACCCCACGATTCTCCTTTCTTTTCTCCTCCTTCCACCCGGCTGTATGGACCGGAAGAGTCCTTGAACCAAAATAGTTCGGCAGACACTTCCGGGACCGGAGCTCCGGGTTCCGGGACAGTGCTGGCTGGAGCGGGAAAGGCAGCCGTGGCGGCCGCTGCAGGATGAAGAAGGAGCATGTTCTGCACTGTCAGTTTTCCTCTTGGTACCCCCTCTTCCGAAGCCTTACCATCAAGAGGTAAGATGGGAGGGGTTACAAGTGGGCGAGCGATAAAAGGGGAACTGCGACAATGGCGCGAATCCTGAAGAACGCAGGCCTTATACCCACCGGCTGAGAACGACGGTGCCTAGATGTCTGCCTGCCAGTGGTATTTGAGGTGGGGAGATTTGCCCTGCGTCCCACTGCGAGTCAGCGAGTGTGCTGGGACAGATAGGCGGGAAGGTCGTGGTTCACTGAGGGTCGGAGGTGGGCGAGTAGTGGATTAACCTAGTTTAGGCTCGAGGGGTCACTATTACTACTTTTAGAATTGCTAGAGGCAAAAGGTGATCAGAGAACTGGGTAGTCAGGCCTTTGCCAGTGACTGGCCTGCCCGGTGACTTAATTACTTTATGTCACTGCAAAAATGAGAACAATGATACAGACTCTATGTCCAAGTCCGCTGTGAAGCTCTACGTACGTTAGTGTGTATGGGAAGCATTAGTGTAGTTATATATTGTTAGGGATGATAATGTGCTGTGAGAGGAGGCAATCCGGAAAAGCAGTGGAACAGTATTTGTTTTGTAATTCTCTGGCCAACAACAAGCAATTCATCCTCGCTTTACAGGGCAGATGGAATTAATTGTTGCATTCTTCTCATCATGCAAGATAATGTAGGCAAGGCAGCTAGGAGAGTATGCCCAACTGTAGTCATGGTATGTGGAACATGATGCAAGGGGAGGCAGGCTTTCACTCCTGGCAGTGATAACTCAAAAGAACTGTGTATTGCTTGCTCCCGCTTTAGGCCTACATAATCATTTATTTAGGACTTTAGCCATCACTTTGTTTTCTTCTTTTTTTTTTTTTTAGAATTATTTAATTTTATTTGTTATTATTACTCCTTTTTAAATTTGGTATAGGGCTCATCCACTTACCTGAGAGAGACAGAGAGAGAGAAAGTGAGAAAGCAAGCCACCAGGTCCAGGACTTGAGCTATGGTTGGCTGTGGAAGTCCAGCGCCTTAACCACCATGCCACCTGCTGGCCCCCATCCCTTTCTTTTCTTTCTGTTCTTTTGATGCAACGATTGTGAGTTGGGAGAGGGAAATCTTGTTTAGAAAATTGGGATTGGAAGAGTTTACCTAGATTATCCAAAAAAATAGTTCTTTTTCATCTCATTTTAGACAAGATGGCATAATGGGGTTAGAGTAGCACAGAGGATAGATAACCTTTGCATTTGAAGATACCAATAGTTGACACCAAAACCAAAGAAGAATCCCCAGTAGTAGCAGCAACAGCCATTACATGCTATCACAAGTTATTTATTGGTATTCCCACCCTTCATTAACTTGCATAATTGAAAGTAGATTTGAGGTCTGGTGGTGCTAAGGTTATTTCTTTTGTGTTGGCATGACAGAGGTGTATTTGTGAACTTCTCAGACGTTTTCACAGTGAAGCTGACATCTGGTTTCTGTGCGGCCACCTTGTGTAGCCTCTAGCATAGATTTCTTTGCCTTAAATGACATAAGCAGACAGTGGTTAAGAACTGGTTTCAAGTAAAAACCATCTGCCTGGTTTTGAATTCTAGTTCCACCAGCATCTTGAACAAATTTCTTAATCTCCCCAAGCCTCATCTGAAAAATTGAGGAAATAATAGGATTATTGTGGGACTTAACTGAGATAAAATATTTAAAATGCTTGTCACTCTTTCTGGCACCATAGTACACTCTGTCTTTTTCCAGCAACCGCACATACTGATGGCAAAGATATTAAAAAAAAAAAAAAAAGAAAGAAAGGAAGGAAGAAAGAAAAATTTTAAGTTTTGAAATAGTATTGGAATGTTCTTAAGAACCTTAGATTTACTAAATTTAAATTTAATTAAATGTAAGTGGAATTTTTGAGCTGTGTAAGAGTTAAATACCTGGGAAGATTCTTTTGTAATAGGACAATCAATATATTTTAAAAAGTAAATCGAATAGATTTCTTATAGAGTTAACTTATTTATTTATTTTTAATATGCCAGAGAAGACATGTGCTCGACAGAGAAAGAGAGAGAGAGAGAGAGAGAGAGAGAGAGAGAGGAAGAAAGAAAAATTTTAAGTTTTGAAATAGTATTGGAATGTTCTTAAGAACCTTAGATTTACTAAATTTAAATTTAATTAAATGTAAGTGGAATTTTTGAGCTGTGTAAGAGTTAAATACCTGGGAAGATTCTTTTGTAATAGGACAATCAATATATTTTAAAAAGTAAATCGAATAGATTTCTTATAGAGTTAACTTATTTATTTATTTTTAATATGCCAGAGAAGACATGTGCTCGACAGAGAAAGAGAGAGAGAGAGAGAGAGAGAGAGAGAGGAATAAAGCACCCTCCAGTGGGGCATGGTCACATTACAATCCCTTCTTCTTCATTTTTCTTTTCTTTTCTTTTTTTTTTTGGAGAGGTTTTTTCACTATAGGGAGCGTGCGCTCGCCAGACAGAGAGAGACATAGAGACAGCGAGAAATCATCCCCCAGGGGGGTGGTCACGCCGCAATCCCTTCTCCTCCATTCTCCTCTCAGGATCTTGGGCACGCACGCCCATGTGCCCTGCGTGAGGTTTTCAAGCCACCGGGTCTGGGACGTGAACTGCGGTCAACTACGTGGGAGTCCAGTGACATAGCCATTACGCTAACTGCTGATCTCCCCTTCTTCTCCATTTTTCCATCCTTGCAGGATTTGGGGAATGCATACACATGTGCCTGGCATGTTTTTCAAGCTGTTGGGGCTGGAATTTGAACCACATAATCTGCCATGTGGGATCTGGCTCCCTTAACCACTAGGTCACAGAGCCAGCCTGGAGTTTAAATTTTTAAAGAGACCTAAAAGTTGCAAAGAGTCATTTGAAATTGGTTAACATTTAATAGATTTACAGATAGAATGAGATTTGATAGTTGAACTTAAAAGCTTGAGAGAGAGCTAGGCTTTTGAATGTAAAATCAAATATTACTCTTTACAACCAAACCTATCCCATGAATAAGTCTTTTCTGTCCACAGAACCATTTGTAATGTGCCATAAAAACTTGTTCAATAAATAAATTAGGCATATTTCAAGTTGCTGAGGTCCTATTGATTCTCTAAAAGCAGATGTAATCTTCTTTACTTTTAAAAAAGTATACAACTCAAAATCAAAATAGTAACATTACTTCTAAATTATTTGTGTTAAGAATTTTTGATGATGTATTATTACAGGGTAAAACAAAACAAAACAAAACAAAACAAAACAACAAATGATCCTGTAAGTTTTTAAGCGTCTTTGCCATCTTTAATTATAACTATCTGAAACACAGGCTGAAGCATGCCCAGTTAAGCAGCTTTCTATCTCTGGTGGTCAGCTGAACATAATGCTACCAAAAGACATCCAAATACATCCAGAATTCTTAGCCTTACCTGCTCATTGCCAGCCAATACTGGTTTCCAGGTCTCAAGTCCACTCTGCTCATATCTCAGAGGGTGGCCAAATGCTGTTCATCTTCTGACTTGTTCTGCCGTGGTTCCCGGCTTTCAGCAGGTATCAGCTGCTCTCTGATTTCTCACAGACACAGAACCATTGTGCTCACTCAAGGCTCTTCTGAGCTTATTGCTTTCCTGTTGTGATTTCCATCTGATTCTTTGTATTGGACTGTTTTGTTTGTTTCTCTACCACAAAAACAGTTGTGGTAACTCTGCAAACCAGGATATTTATTCATATCACTCCACTTCCTAGTCTGCTATTACCAAATATGCACCATTAATATTTTCCATTTCATATTAAAATAAAGGGGATTAATAAGGTTATAGTTGATCTTTTAAAATGGTGACATTTTTGGTATGTGTTTTTTTTTTTTTTTTTTCAGTGTTGTTCTTCCACTTCCTCAGAATGTGAAAGATTATTTACTCGATGATGGAACCCTGGTCGTTTCAGGAAGGTAAGATACATCAGGAAAAGATTTCTTTGAATTTTATCTTAAAACATAATGACTAAGTCTTAACACTTATCGAATAAAATGAGTAAGTGAGCTTTGGTGCCACTCACTTCATTTAGCTATTTTTTCCCCAGCTAAAATTATATAGTGATCTTTGTCCTATATTCCTTGTCAAAGCTCAGTTAATGTTTTCAAAATTGAGAACTTCCTTCTCTAATAATTACTGGTTACGAAATTGAGCAGCTCCTTTTGTCTGTCTCCAGAAAATAGTAGTGAGGATAATTTTTCCTTCTGAAGGTAGGATTTGGGAAGGGCACATTACAATCCTTTGAGATCCTGTGGTTTAAGGTAAGAAAAATTCTTTGTCTGGGACCAGCCATGGCTGTACAGCAGAAGCAGAATACTCCACACTGCTGAAGCCATACAGGCAGGCCCTGGGTTTGTGTCTGGAAGCCTCCCCCTGCATGCTGGGGACATGTGTGCATGCCTGTGACTCAGGCCCACTGAGGCCTCTGGGGTACTCCAGACCTTTTGGAACCCTTTGTTTCTCTCTTTGTCTCTGTCTCTCTTTCTGTCTTCCTCTCTCATGGAAGAAATATGTCAATAAACTTTTAAAAAAATTGTGCATTGTAAATAGGAATACTAATCTAGAAGGATTTATTATTTAATTTTTCAACATTTTGTTCCCCACAACCGACCCACCATTTACCCACTCCACCTTCTAGAAATTGTTCACATAGTTTTCCTGTTTGTATTGTATTTCAGTCTTTTTAGTAAAAATTTGAGAAAGCTTAAGAATCGTAGCATTTAGTGAAATTCCTGCTTACTCAGGTCTCTACTCAGAAGTCATATTGTCTAGGGTTCATCTTTCACCATGCCTCCTCCTCCTCCATTTTTTTAGAGAGATTTTTGCTATAGTGCACATGTGCTCACCAGAGAGACAGAAAGTGAGAAATCACCCCCCTCCCCCCGAAGGGAGATGGCCATGCTGCAATCCCTTCTCCTGCATTCTGCTCTCGGAATGTTGGGCATACATGCACATGGACCCAGCATGAGTTTCAAGCCACCAGGTCTGGGACTTGAACCACTGTTGGCCATGTGGGAGTCCAGTGATGTAACCATTATACCATCTGCTGGTCCCTACCATGCCTTCTAAAATAGCCAAATGGTAATTATATTGTGTATCACTCTTTGTCTCCTAACTTCCCTTATTTTTCTGTGTAACATTTATTTCCATTTGACATAATCCCCTTAATTGTTCTACTAGAAAGCAGACTTCATGAGACCACAGACTTCATGAGACCATAGACTTGGCCAATTTTGTTCACCTCAACTCTTGAAACAGCACTGGAAACATACGAGGTGCTTGATAAACATTTATTGGATATATAATTACAGTCATGTGTGTATTCAGTAACACTAACTTGACTCCATATTTTTGTCTCAATAGATTTTTAGTGTAGCTTTCTGGATTATATATCTTTTTGATATCCACATCCCCTTAAAAATTTGAAAATTACTAAAATAGAGCCTCACTAACTTGGAATAATTGGAGGATAAGAAAACAGTAAAAAAGTACCAGTCTTAACTTCAGGATATTTATAGACACAATGTTATTATTCTCCAATATAGCATATGTAATAACCTTATATTATTGGGACTATAAATAAAGTAACTTCTAATATTAGAATATACTGAAAAGTTTCAGTATTGTGAACATATTAAGAACTTCTGTGGTGTGTTTCATTGGTCAGAAGTCTGCATAAGCCTTTGGCTTAGGCAGGCACTCTGTTGAATGCTGTTAAACCCTGCTATAAATCACACAGGCTGTACTGTGTTATACAGCAATGTGTAAATCAGATGGAAACTTTGCCCTTTCACAGCTGACAGTTCAGTTTCATATTCTGGGGCAGTCAGATGGTATAGTTCTAGTTCTTTAGATCACCTAGAGTCAAATCATATCTTCGCTATTTTCTGGCTTCCTGTGCCTCAGTTTCCTTGTTTGTAAATGGGGCAGACCTCGTAGCATTGTTAAAAGGATAAAAAGAGATAATGTATAAAGTGTTCTGCCTGTTGCCCAGTGTACTGGATGCTCTTTTTAAAATTTTTTTTTTGGGGGGGGGCATTGCCATAGGGTGCATGCACCATGTACTCAGTAGAGAGGGACAGAGGGAGGGAAAGTAAGATATCAGTCTGTAAGGGGGATGACCACACTACAGTCCCTTCTCCTCCATTCTCTCCTCAGGATTTTGGGCATGTGTGCACATGTGCTTGGCCTGAGTTTCAAGGCATCAGGTCTGGGACTTGAACTGTGGTCAGCCATGTGGGAGTACATCATCTTAAAGGCCACACCACCTGCTGACCCCTCTGTGCTCTTAAGAAATACTAGCTGTTCTTACCATCATGAATCTTAGTTGGGAAAAACACACAAGTAAATATATGAGTAAAGACTGAGGCCGGTGCTGTGAAGGAAGTGGTATGTATGGTCACTGAGATTAAATTGCTGCGAGGGTCAGGGCGTGCCTTGAAGAAGTAGTTTTTGAGCCTCTGAGATAAAAGGTTGGGGGAAGGTAGTCAGGTGTAGGATGGTGGGAAGAGTCTTCCTGGTTGAGGAATAGTGTTAACAAAGACTCTGATACATGACAGATCTTGGCTTTTTTATTTGTTTCTTTTATTTTTTTCATGAGTGAGGGAGACAGAGAGAAATAGAGAAAGAAAGAGACAGCACCTCTAAGAGGGTCTTGACACTGATAACCTAAGAGAGACAGAGATGACCGAGAGAGGGAAAGAAAGCAAGCACCCCCTGTGGGGGATAGTCTCTCTGTAATCTCTTTTCCATCTTTCCCTTGCTTCGGGACTTCAGGCATGCACATGCATTCAGCATGTTTTCTACACCTTAACCACCACACTACCATCTGGCCTTCTTTTTTATTGTTGGTAGGCCAGTAGTAAACTACTGTAAGCTATTTGTAGGTATTTGAGATAAATTAGTTAGGCATCTTTCCTTAGCATTACTATAGGACTGTGACTTGCTTTGTTTGGTAAGATACATTCTGAAATGGTGAGGAGGGAAAGTAATATGAATACTTTAAAATTCTAACATTTAGCCCAGCCTTGGTTTTATATGATTAATTTTTAGATTGCAGCATTTTGACTACGACCTGTCATGAGATCAAGTGTATTATTATTTAAGAAGTTTCAGATTTTGGAGCATTTTGGATTTGGGATTAGGGATGCTCAACCTACACTTAATATTTTTGGGGGGGAGGGAGAATTTGACTTAATAGGGGATTCTAGATAGAAAATTGTCCTCTGATTTTTTAAAAAAATTATTTGTTATTAATTTTTTAATTTTACCAGAGAGAGACAGTGAGAGAGAAAGGGAAAATGAGAGAGCAAGCCACCAGGTCCTGGTCTCGAACTGCGATTGGCCATGCAGTTCGAGGTCCTGGTCCTCGAACTGCAGTACCCTAATCATGCCACCTGCTCGCCCCCATAGCTCACTCTTCTAATATGCAATGAAATCCCATGACATTCTGACTTAATGTTTCCTCATTTAACTTTTTTCTTCATGAATATTCTTGGAATTTTCTTTTTATGTTTCATATTTCATGATAATCATCTGATCACTTATCTATTGTGTAGCACATCACTCAAAACTAGTGACTGAAAACAGTAAGACCGTTTTATTTCAGTGATTGCTCGGCTGAGTGTCGGAAAGTACTTTTCCTTGAATCTCTCATGTTACTGCACTTCTTCAGAGGCACTGTCAGCTTTTATTCTTGGTGACCTTTTTGAGGATGTTTATATAGCCAACAGCCAAACAGCACAGACAGTGGTGATTCCTTCCAGTGAGAGAGAAAGGGAAAATGAGAGAGCAAGCCACCAGGTCCTGGTCTCGAACTGCGATTGGCCATGCAGTTCGAGGTCCTGGTCCTCGAACTGCAGTACCCTAATCATGCCACCTGCTCGCCCCCATAGCTCACTCTTCTAATATGCAATGAAATCCCATGACATTCTGACTTAATGTTTCCTCATTTAACTTTTTTCTTCATGAATATTCTTGGAATTTTCTTTTTATGTTTCATATTTCATGATAATCATCTGATCACTTATCTATTGTGTAGCACATCACTCAAAACTAGTGACTGAAAACAGTAAGACCGTTTTATTTCAGTGATTGCTCGGCTGAGTGTCGGAAAGTACTTTTCCTTGAATCTCTCATGTTACTGCACTTCTTCAGAGGCACTGTCAGCTTTTATTCTTGGTGACCTTTTTGAGGATGTTTATATAGCCAACAGCCAAACAGCACAGACAGTGGTGATTCCTTCCAGAAGAGTGAGCAGGCTTGTTTACTGTCCGGTACAAATAATAATGTTTCCACTTGGATAAAAGATTGAGCAATTTGGCTTGCAGTCCATTATACAAGATGGGACTCCCTAACTTCAGTGTCCCTCAGTTGTAATCAGGCCACCTGTGTCACCCCTTCCTGGAACTTGGGGACTGATGGAGAGAAGGAGCTTATGCTTCATGCTCTGCAATAGAGCCCTTTGTTCCTGACCCAGGAGTCTCAGGTCTTCTGCCAACATCTATGAATCTGGCAGGCTAGCCTGTTAGCTTGCAAGTAGGGTAGAATTTCAGATTCCCCCCGATTCTTGACATCAGGCAGGTTTTTTGTTGGTCTTCCTAAGTCTATGTTTATGTGACTATAGTCAGCTGAGCCAATTACTCTTCAGATGGCCTCACTCACATGTCTAGTGGTAGACTGTCAGCTGGACCTCTCTTTCAGCATGGCCCCTCACCCTTAGAAATGCTTAACTGAGCTTCTTCACAGAGCAGTGGCCACATTCCCAAATGGCAAGAGTGGAAGCCATAAGTACTTTTGGTACCTAGGTTCAGAACCATGTGGTGTCACTCGTGCTACATTGTTTGGGTCAGCATTAGTCTCGAAGCCAGTCTAAATGAAAAGGACAGGAAAATAAATGTTATTTATTTATGCGAAGAGTGCCACCGTCACCCTGTGAAAGGGTATGTCTAAAGAGATAGGAAGAAGGTCAGCGGGTAGATCGTAGTTAAGCTGCTGGATTCCCATGTGGCCAACCACAGTTTGACTCCTGGACCTGGTGGCTTGAAAAATCACATCAGATGCATATGTATGCATGCCCAAAATCACTAGAGGAGAATAGAGGGGAAGGGATTGCAGCGTGGCCATTTCCCTTGGGGGGTGCTTTTCACTTTCCCTTTTATGTCTGTTTCTCTCTCTCTTTGGCAAGCACGTGCACCCTTGGCAAAACCAAAATATAAAATGAAATTAAAAATAGAGAGGAAGAATTAATGTGGCCATTTTAATTTTAGCACATGTAAGGTTTTTTTTTTTTTTTTTTTTTTTCCTCCACTTAATATGCTGTGTTCTTGGTGGGCCCTTGAGTTCTAGAGATAGTGTTTCCTTTAAGAGCAGAGTATAGGTTTGTTTACTGTCCAATAGAAATAAAGGTAATGTTGAGGGCCAGCAGGTGATGTAGTGATTAAAGCACTGTACTACCACATGACTGACCGCAGTTTGAGTCCTGGGCCCAGTGGCTTAAAAATCACACTGGGTGCATGTGCACGCATGCCCAAGATCCCAGGAGGAGAATGGAGAAGGGAGTGTGCCATGGCCATCTCTTCTTGGGATGTGATTTCTCACTTTCTCTCTCACTGTCTCTGACTCTCTGGTGATGGCTCACACACTATGGCAAAACTTAAAAAAAAAAATTGATTTATAAAAAAAAAAAAAAAGGTCCTCTTTTCTGGCTTGAACCATGGAGAGCATTCAAGAGAAGAAAAAGTAGGTTCCTGCTGTGGCAGAAACCAGGGAACAGGCTCTTGCTGCAGCGGAAGCAACCAAGAAAAAGGTTTCTGCTGTGCAAGAGAAACCCTTAAGAAAAAGCAAAGGAATTTTGCGGAACTGAATATCAAGCACCTGAGAAAGACGTTTGCTCAAAAGATGCTTTGAAAGGCAAGGAGGAAGCTTATCTATGAAAAAGCTAAGCACTATCATAAGGAATATAGACAGATGTACAGAACTGAGATTTGCATGACCAGGATGGCAAGAAAAGCTGGCAACTTCTGTGTACCTGCAGAACCCAAATTGGCATTTGTCATCAGAATCAGAGTTATCAATGGAGTCAGCCCAAAGGTTCGAAAGGTGTTGCGGCTTCTTCATCTTCACCAGATCTTCAATGGCACCTTTGTTAAGCTCAATAAAGCCTCAATTAACATGCTGAGAATTGTGGAATCATATATTGCATGGGGGTACCCAAACCTGAAGTTAGTAAATGAACTGATCTACAAGTGTGGTTATGGCAAAATCAATAAGAAGCGAATTGCTTCGATAGATATCTTTGATTGCTTGATCTGTTCGTAAATTTGGCATCATCTGCATGGAGAATCTGAGTCATGAAATCTATACTGTTGGAAAACGCTTCAAAGAGGCAAATAACTTCCTGTGACCCTTCAAATTATCTTCTCCATGAGGTGAAATGAAGAAAGAACCACACATTTTGTAGAAGGTGGAGATGAGCTAAGATATCCACCATGATTATTTTTGTAATCTGGTCAGTAAATAAACAGACTGGGTGTTTTCAGACTGTAATAAAAAGTTAAAAAATAATTTAGAAAAAGGTAATGTCTACTCTTTGGTCAAAGATCAAGCTATGGGTCATTTATTGTTCTATGTTCTTGGTGGGCCTTTGTTCATACATTTTACACTTTGGCAAGATTACAAATATTTTCTTTCATAATTCTCTTATTTTCTTGCTTCTCTTTCTGAAACTCCTACTCATAATATTTAGGTATTGGATTTGTTGGATGAATTTTTTTTTTTCTTTTTTGGGAGAGCTTTTTGCTGTAGGGTGCGTGCGCTCGCCAGAGAGACAGAGAGAGACAGAGAGCCAGAAAGCGAGAAAGCACCCTCCAGGGGGCATGGCCAGCAGGTGATGTAGTGATTAAAGCACTGTACTACCACATGACTGACCGCAGTTTGAGTCCTGGGCCCAGTGGCTTAAAAATCACACTGGGTGTGATGCCCAGTGTGAGTTAAGGCGAGTGGGTCTGGGACTAGAACTGCAGTTGACTACGTGGGAGTCCAGCGACACAGCCATTACGCTAACTGCTGGTCCCTGGATGAATTATTTTTTTTAGAATTATTTATTTAAAATTTTTTGGGTTATTTTTAAATTATTTCATTTTATTAATTTTTTTTGAGAGAGATTTTTGCCATGGGACCATGGACTTGTTGGAGAGACAGAGAGATAGAGCTACAGAAAGCAAGAATTCCCCCCCCCTCCCCGAGGGATGGGCCCACTGCAGTCCCTTCTCCTCCATTCTCCTCTCAGGATCTTGGGCACTCATGTACACACACCTGGTGTGAGTTTTAAGTCACTGGGGCCAGGACTCAAAGTGCAATTGACTATGTGGGAGTTCAGTGACATAACCATTATGCCATCTGCTGGTCACTCTTTTTTAATTTTTTCAGGGCATGTGCACTCACCAGAAAGAGAAAGAGAGGGAAAGTGAGAAAGCAAGTGCTAGGTCCAGAACTCAAACTGCAGTTGGTCATATGAGTCCAGTGCCCTAACGACCATGCCATTTGCTGGCCTTGAGTTTTATCTTTTGTATTGTACATCTCTTAGTCTTTTTTGTTCTACTTTGTGGGTAATTTTCTCATTTTTTTCCATTCATTTTACTTAATTTAAAAATTTTAGTTACACATGTAAACATACGCATACGTAACATATACATACTCTGTAATCTGAAATTACTAGATGGCACTGAAATATTTTTTCTACATAACTTTTTTTTAGAGACGATCCACCAACACACTCTCAGCCAGATAGTGATAATGAAGCAGAAGAAATCCAGGTTGGTACTAAATAAAATAATCCATTCTGTATAGTATTCTAATTGGAATGATCTCTGAAATAGTTCTGATATTTAGATATCATACATTTGATAAAGTCAGAAATTATACCACAATACCACTTTGATACACATTTTTATTTATACTTCATGTTCAGGAAAAGATAACTCCTGTTTATGTATCATTTTTATGTGGAGCACCACTTTTGGGAAGCCCCAAACTGTATTTAAATTTAATATTTGGTTTCTGTCCTTTTTTCCATGCAGTGGTCCGATGACGAGAATACAGCCACACTCACGGTAAGAGCAAAGTAGTACCAGTATGGGGACAGTCTCACACTGTTACATAGGGGTTAGCTTTAAGGTTTATACACATATCTCTCTAAATTCCCATGTACTCACCATTTCACCAGATATCACCAGGTATCTTATTCTCTGTATTATTTTGAAAAATAATGTGAATCATTGCTTAATAGATAAATATGCTTTGCCCTCTTTTTCGTTTTGGTTACAAGTAAATATTTTAAGTTCTTATTTGATGCCTTGACCTATTTCTAATAAGCTCTAAAAGAAGGAATCAAGGGGCCGGCAGGTGGCGTGGTGGTTAAGAACATTAGAATCCCATGTGGCCGACCATGGTTCAAATCCTGGGCCTGGCAGCTTGCTTTCCCACTTTGCCTCCCTCTCTCATTCTCCTCTCTCTCTTACTCTGTCCTTCTCTGGTCTAAATAAGAAAATAAAGTTAAATGAAATAATTCTAAAAAAAAAGAGAAAGAATCAAGCCTAACAATTAAACTCTGAGGTGCTCAGATCTATGACTCCTAAGATCAAATGAAAGTCTGTGCAAGTTGAACAACTCACATTCAGACATCCGAAATCCCTAAGTCCAGAACCTGAAACTTGTTTAAGCACCAGCATGACTCACAAGTGGAAAATTCCTCACTCTATATGAGAGGTTACAGTCAAAACACTGCAGTATAAAAATATTGTTTTAAATTACCTCCCAACTATGTGTATAAAGTATATATGAAACATAAATGAATTTCAGGTTTAGACTTGGGTCCTATCCCCAAAATACTTCATTGTGTATATGCAAATATTCCAAATCTGAAAAAGATTGAAATCTGAAACACTTTTGGTTCCAAGCATTTTGATTAAGGGATACTCAACCCATATTTATTTATTTAAGTGTTCTTTTTTAAAGAATTATTTATTTATTTATTTATTTTTTTTTTCACATGACTTTTGCCAGAGAAAGACAGAGAGAGAAAGAGAGAGGGAGCGAGCAAACAAGCAAGCCGCCAAGTCCAGGACTTGAATCACAGTCGGCCATGTGGGAATTCCAGTGCCTTAACCACCATGCCACCTGCTGGCCCCTATTTAAGTGTATTTAAAAGGCACAAAAATAGTTTTTCTTGAACAAGTAAAATATGTGACTTTGACTACTATGTTATATAAAATTATAGAGGTCAGTTAACAATAATATATTCATTCAGGATAAGTGCTACTGTGAAATTCAACCTGAAAAAAATTTTTTTTTTTTAAAGAGAGATTTTTGCAGGACCAGCAGTTAGCATAATGGCTATGTCGCTGGACTCCCATGCAGTTGACTGTGGTTCGCGTCCCGGACCCAGTGGCTTAAAACTCACGCCGGGCGCCTGTGCGTGCGTGCCCAAGATCCCGAGAAGAGAACAGAGAAGGGATTGCAGCGTAGCCATCCTCCCTAGGGGGTGATTTCTCGCTGTCACCTCCCAAGGGGGATGGACACACTGCAATCCCTTCTATTCCATTTTCTTTTTGGGATTTTGGGCATGCACGAATACATGCCTGGTGTGAGTAGTTTTAAGCTGCCAGGTCTGGGACTCGAACCACCATTGATTACATGGGAGTCTAGTGATGTAACCATTATAACATCTACTAGTCCCCAACTTAAAATATTTTAAGATAAAAAAAGTATATCTTAACATTTATTATTTATTTATTTGTTGTGATTTTCAAGTACCAGGCCCAGGACTTGAACCATGGTAGGCCATGTGGGAGTCCAGCACCTTAACCATCATGCCATCAGCTGGCTTCAATAAAAATATTTTTACAATAGTGAAGCAAAAAATGTATTTCTAAGAATATGAGCGAAATATTTGGGAAGGGTGTGTGTGTGTGTGTATACACTTTTTCTTTTTACTTTTTTAAATGAATTATTTTAATTTTATTTATTATTTTAAAAATTGCTACCTAATACATGTGCTCACCAGAGAGAGACAGAGAGAGAAAGAGAGAGAGGTGAAGTGAGAAAGCAAGCTGCCAGATCTGGGACCTGAACTGCAGACGTTAAGTCGAACATCTTAACCACCAAGCCATCTGTTAGCTCCTTGGGGAGAGTATATTCTAATACCACTCTAAATAAGAAGATACTTTTATTTTAATTAAAGTAATGGTTTTCTGGGTATTACAAAAAAGGAGGAGATTCCTAAAATGACATATTTCCTTAGGTATAAAAAGTTAAGGGATACCAGATGGTGGTGCAGTAACAAAATGTGGTGCTCTGTGAGATGTCACCACATGGGAAGGTAACAGGTTCAAGTCTAGCATTCTCCCTGAGTATTCCAGGCACATGCTTGCCCATGATCCTGGACTGGGTGAAGTCCAGAGGTGGACCACAGTGTCAAGACCCTATTAAGGGCGGTGTGTGTGTTTGTCTCTCTCATGGAAGAAATTAATTAATGAATGAAACAAAAAGAAAATGTTCAGCATTCCAACAGATATCGAAATAGAAAGTTTGCATGTTTTATTTTCTCTGGATATCATGCAGGTTACTTTCCTTTTATGAAAATTATGTTCAGTGTAAATGTTATTTGTATACTATTAACAGGGCATGATACAGAGTTCTGTATGATAAAGATGAATGTGATTTGAGTCCTGCCTGTAGGGAGTTCGTAAACCTGTTCAGAAAGATGACACAACATAGGGGTAAGATGGCAGTGTTGTTAGAACAGAGAGGGTACCCAGAAATGCTTGAAAGACTAAGTAGTATTTGGCCTTTTTTCTTTTTTGGAGAGGTTTTTGCTATAGGGCACGTGTGCTCACCAGAAAGACAGAGAGAGACAGAGAGACAGAAAGTGATAAATCACCCCTCAAGGGGAGATGGCTACGCCACAAGCCCTTCTCCTCCATTCTCTTCTCGGAATCTTGGGCATGCACGCACATGCACATGGCGTGAGTTTAAGCCACCAGGTCCGGGACTTGAACCGCAGTCGACTACATGGGAGTCCAGCAACATAGCCATTATGCTAACTGCTGGTCCCAGTAGTATTTTGCTTTAACCTTTTAAGAGTGGGTAAGGATTGGGACCAGCAGATGGCATAATGGTTATGTCACTACACTCCCACCTATTCGACCCTGGTTTGAGTCGTGGACCCGGTGACCTACCAGGCATGTATGTGTGCATGCCCAAGATCCCGAGAGGAGAATGGAGGAGCAGGGATTGTGGTGTGGCCATTCCCTCTAGGGGGTGATTTCTTGCTTTCTGTCTCTCTGTGTGTCTCTGTCTGGCGAGTGCATGGGGCCTATAGCAAAAATCTCTCTAAAAATAAAAAAGTGGCTATTATCAGTATTGACTTATGTGTATAAATATATATATATATATAGATGAATAGGTACCGCAATTAATAGTATAAAGGTGCATAAGTGTCTTGGTCTCTTCCTGCTGCTAAACAAAATACCTTAGGCTGGGTAGTTTATGAATAATAGAAATTTATGGTGGGAACTTATTCTCCTCTTCCAAGATGGTGACTTGCTGCTGTGTCCTCATGTGGCAGGAGGGTTGGAAGAGATGGAGAGCCCAGCATTTTTATGAGGGCATTAACTCTATTAACCCAAGTGGAACTCTCATACGTAAATCACTTTCCCAAAGGCCCCATCTCTTAATATTACTACAATGAGGATTAAATTTCAACAAGAACTTTGGAGAGATGCAGACATTTAAACCACAGTGGTATGCATGTGTATATATTTATCAACCTTTTCACTAAGAAGGGTTAGAATTATTAACATATAACATCATGGTAGCAATGAGCACACCCATGTGGGTCTCTAGCACCCTTAACCACCATGCTACCTGCCAGCCCCCAGATAGCAGATTAAAAGTAGAATTTTTAAAAGTTTATTTGAGAGAGGGTGGGGAGATCCTTAATAACCTCAATACTTCATTATTCTCTTCCCTAGCCTTCCAGGTTGTCATCATTTTGGGCTTGTGCCTGATATGTTTCAGGTCAACCTAGGAACCGAATGCGTGGTTGGCCATATGGTTTCTAGCACTGCAGTTCAGTGCACTGTCCACCTGCACCATTGCATCTGGGCCTAAAAATGTGGATTTTATCCCTCTTATAATGGGAATTTTTCTTCATACAACTGAAATATTACACAGATTTAAAACTGGCTAGTTGGCCAAGCTTCAAAGAGTCCTCTTAGTTAATTGTGTTTATAGATAATTTTCAGAAAATCATAAAATCACATTAACACATACAAAAGATTTTTTTTTTTAATTCATGAGGGGACCAGATAGATGTTTTGAGTGGCTCAAAAGACTCATTTATGGATCAGAAATACTGAAACAAGTATGTAAATGGACAAAACTAGTTTTGCCTCCCTCTATGGTGGGAGAGAAGATAGACCTCTTCCAAACAGAATAGAAGTTGCATGATCATAAGAATTAGTTTGTATTGTTTACTTAGTTTACCAAGTTGTAAAATAGCTCACAGATCTAGCTAGAATCAGATAACCTGGAGGGATGTTCTATGTGTTTGTTGACTGAAGACTATGCATGAACTTTATGTAATTTATAAATTTTGTTTGAGATCCTTACAGCAGGGTTTTCCTAAAGTTGAATAATTTGGGGGATTTGAGGGAACTGATCACATTTTTAAAAATGCAATACCAGGTCAGTTGGTGGTGTGGTAGTTAAGGCACTGGATCCCACATGGCCAGCTATAGGGTTCAAGTCCCAGACCTGATGGCTTGGAAAACATGCTGGGTGAATGTGCATGTGTGCCTGCAATCTCAAGAGAAGAATGAAGGAGAAAGGATTGTGGAATGGCCATCCCCCTGAGAGTGTTGGGTGGGGGGTGGGGGTGATTTCTCACTTTTCCTCTCTCACTCTCTGCTTCTTTCTGGTGAGCACATGACCTTATAACAAACCAAACTAACAATAACAACAACAAAAAAGTAAGTACAAAACAATCCTTAGATGTCAAGTTTTATAGGATAGGAAAATTAAATTGTTTTATCTTTGAAGGTTAAACCCCTTCACATTGTAAAATTTGTGTAACCATGCTGCAGTTTATAGGATATTGCTAATGCAGATCATAGATGTTTATGGATAAAGTGCTAGGGGAGCCAGATCAGTAGTTGTAGGTGATTAAGGAAATTATTGGCCTAACATGAATTATAAGTCCTTTTGATGGAGAGAGGCAAATGGAAAATAAAGGACTATTAGGGCTTTTATTCATTTTACTAGTCTCTAAGTTACTCTAAATTTTAAGTATCTAAGATGAAGAAGTAGTCTAATGAAGATAGACACAGTGGTAGCTTATCAGATAATTTAAAAATATTACTGTGGGGCCAACAGGTGGCATAGTGGCTAAGGTGCTGGACTCCCACATGGCCAACTGTGGTTCAAGGCCCTGACCTGGTGGCTTGAAAATCATGCTGGGGCATGTGCGCATGCGTGCCAAAATCCCAGGAGGAGAAGGGATTGTGGCATGGTCTTCTCCCTTGGGGAGTGATTTCTCACTTTTGCTCTCATTGTGTTTCTCTGTTTCTCTCTCTCTCTCGCATGCATATGCACCCTATAGCAAAACCCGTAAACAAACAAACGAAAAACACTGTTTTTAACTAGTCTAGAGGTCAGACTTATCTGTGGCAGAAAGATAGCCTAAGTGAATCTTAAGCTCACTCTTCTTTACTCACTGGCCTTTTTGCTTAAAACTTTCTATTTTGGGGGATATGTTGCCTCAAAATAGAAAGTTTTATTGTAAGTTAAATTAATATTAATTTCTTTCTAACATCCCTCAGGTACCTAGTCACATCTGTCTTTTTTAGTTTTTGTAGTTTTGATTATTTTGGAAACTTCCATTTGAGCAGTTGATTAATTTTATTTTCCTTTCTGCTAAATGTTATTTGATCAGTGATTTATTTTAACTGAGCCGAGAAATTTTAATAGTAATTATATTTTAAATTATGTTTTTAGCACTTTAATCTTGAGATTTTGATCTTGCTTTCCATACTTTCTGTGATGGTATTGACTTGTCCAAATGATTTCTTCTTTCTCTCTGTAGGCACCAGAATTTCCCGAGTTTACCACTAAAGTCCAGGAAGCTATCAACTCCCTGGGGGGCAGTGTCTTTCCTAAGCTTAACTGGAGTGCCCCAAGGGTAGGACACATACATAATTTATAAGTCTTAATGTTTAAATGTTCTTTGTTTTACTGTTTATTTTATATCCCCACAGAAGGACTAATTATATTCCTAATTCCAGAGAAAATGCTGTGAAATTCATCATTATTTCCCTCTGTTGTTTTATTTTCTTGATTTTGGTATGTACTTTCCTGGGTCTATATATTCTGACAAAAGACAATCCTTTCATATTATGGATTGTGCTAGAATTCTGAGAAATTCATTCTTTGCTCTTTAGAAATGTAAGCTGTTAAGGCTAACAGAGAAGTTGTTTTCTTTTGAAAAGATATAGAAATGCAGAAGATGTAGAAATAGAGCAGTTTGAGAAATAAACTGATTTTATTAAAAATTGTGTTTTATTGGGAACCAGCAGTTAGCGTAATGGCTATGTTGCTGGACTCCCACGTAGTCTACCGCAGTTCGTGTCCCGGACCCGGTGGCTTAAAACTCACGCCAGGCGCGTGTGCATGCATGCCCAAGATCCTGAGAGGAGAATGGAGGAGAAGGGATTGCGGCATGCCCATCCCCCCTGGGGGGTGATTTCTCGCTTTCTGTCTCTATGTCTCTTCTGTCTGGTGAGCACACGCGCCCTATAGCGAAAATCTCTCCAAAAAAAAAAATTGTGTTTTATTATTTTAACACCCTATTGACAAAATTTTTGTAAAAGTTGGAGCCTGTGGAAAAATTCTCTATTTTTTTCTAAGCCAATAGGAAACAATTTTATGTCAGCAAATATCACTTAAGGAATCAAAGACCAGTTTGCATTTTCTTTTTTTTTTAAAGAATTATTTATTTAATTTATATTTTTTTATTATTATTATTATTTTTAACTTGCTATAGGGCTCGTGCACTCACCAGAAAGAGACAAAGAGAGAGAGAGCAAGCCACCAGGTCTGGGACTTGAACCTCATTCAGTCATGTGGGAGTCAAGTGCCTTCACATCGTTTGCTGGGCCTCCCAGTTTACATTTTTAAAACTCATCTTAGGAGCCAGCGAGTGGCGTGCTGGTTAAGGACCCTGGATTCCCACATGGCCGACCGTGGTTCAAGTCCTGGACCTGGCAGCTTGCACTCTCTCTCTCTCTGTCCCTCTCTGGTCAACTTGAAATAAACAAATGAATAAATAAATAAAAATCCAAAATTAAAAAAAAATCATTTAACAAAAAACAAAACAAAAAAAAACAAAAAAAAAAAACCCAACTCATCTCATATGCCTTTTTTTTTCCCTAAGAGATTTTTTGCTATAGAGTGCGTGCGCTTGCCAGAGAGACAGAGATAGAGAGATAGTAATGGAGAAATCATCCCTTGGGAGGGATGGCCATACTGCAGTCACTTCTCCATTCTCCTCTTGGGATATTGGGCACGCATGCACATGTACCTGGCGTGAGTTTTAAACTGCCAGGTCCAGAACTTGAACCACTGTTGACTACATGGGAGTCCAGCAACATAACCATTATGCCATCTGCTGGTCCGGCCTTTCTTTTTATATACTAAAATGAATGATACCTGTGCTTAATCTAATGTATATATTTATTTTTAAAACTAATTTTCTATGTACATAGTTTAAGACTTCAAATTGATCAAAAAGTTTGTTATAAAAACCAACAGATTTTTATTTCCCCATTTCCTTTTTTTTTTTTTTAAAGAGGATTTTGTTTTAGAGTGTGTGCATTTACCAGACAGGGAGACAGAGACAGTGAGAGGGAAAGTAAGAAATCATCCCCTGGGGGCAATAACCACGTGGCAACCCCTTGTCCATTCTTTCCCAGGATCTTGGGCACACATGCACACACATCCAGTGTGACTTTCAAGCTATTGGGTCTGGGACTTGAAGCATGGTCAACCATGTGGGAGTCCAGAAACGTAACTGCTGCACTGTCCGCCGGCCCCTTATTTCACCATTTCCTTTTCAAAAAAAGCCTTACTTTCAAATATTTAAGTGCATTTTTTTTTAAATTTATTTAACTTACCTCTTTTTTTGTTGTTCTATTCTTTAATTTTAGGTATTGATTCAGCTTTTTGTTATCTCTTAATCCCCTCCACTTTCTATTTCATTATCCTCATTATATAAAGTCATGTCAAATTTGATTAGATCAGTATTCATGTGTCCAGTAAGTGATAATGCAAACTATGTACACATGTGGTTATGTACTTTACTGTGACCACTTGTATTTTCTTACTTAGTTTTCCCTGGAGTTAATTACTGCCTCATTTTTTAAAGCTACATGATTTTCTGTGTATATATATTGTTTCAGTGAAATTAAATGTGTATGTTCAGTATCCTGTCTTTAACCAGAAGTTCCTCATTATAAAATTATAAAGAAGTTACTGAACTTATTTTTAGTTCCTCATAGTTAGCTTTTCATCTATTGGGTTGTTGGAAGTTATGACATACTTTTCTCTGTGTTTCTGTGCAAAAATGTACTGTGACTTTTCCGATGGCCCTTTATATATGAGCAGAATAGCTCATTATTTCTTGCTACTGAACTGGGTTGAGGCTTTCCACTTAAGATGGGCAGATTATTTGCCATTGTAAGTTATTCATGTGTTCATTTATTTGTTATTGAATGCCTACTGTATGCCAGTGTTTTCTTCCATGAAGCATTGATAATTGGATAGTTTTTTGCAATCACTACACTAGTTTTCTCAAAATTGTATTATTGTCTTGTGTCTGCGCCAGCTATAGGTGTGTATGTTAAATGACTTAATTATTCTATCATTTTGAGGCATGCTCTGATAAGCATTGTGTCTACCATGCCTGCCATTCCTCTTTTGTTCATTTGTATGAGCCAGTCACCACTTACAGTTGTGATTATTCAAAATACTTTACCTTCTCTCTCAGATTTGGTAGGCAGGAGTCCTAACTTCTCCAGTCATCAAAGTTCAGGTATCAGGCTGTCACTCTCCAGAAACAGGGAGAAGAGAAGTGACCTTTTTTCATGGAAAGTAACTGGTCAGGCTGATTTTGTCCATCATAGTTGTCTAGCTGAAATGTCCGCATTTCTGCTACCTTATTTGCCCCATAATCCATCATCAGTAAGAAATACCAGGAAGTGCTAGGACCCAGGCTGAAGCATGAGGACTCTACATCTCAGTATTTATAACTGAGTGTCTGACATGCAATGGTAGTTCCCTTTATTGTTGAGAGTGTAATTTGACATTTGATAATGTTGCTAAACTTTACTTTATTTTTGACTTTTTTCTTAATAATTGAAGTAGTATGCATTACTGATTTTATTTATAGGCCTGAGCCTTATTCCTAGTAACTAACATGTAATATGCACTAAATAACATGTGCTCTGTTATTCAGGATGCCTACTGGATAGCAATGAATAGTTCTCTGAAATGTAAAACCCTCAGCGATATCTTTCTGCTCTTCAAGAGTTCTGATTTCATCACTCGTGACTTCACTCAACCGTAAGTCTCTTGCTCTTTCATCTCAGTAGTTTCAGTACTTGTGCACATTTTTCTGTAGATGAAATTTTGTTAGTTCTTGCATTCTTACGTTTCTTTCATATTGTCATGAAAAGCAGTTAAACTAGGAACTAGCAGATGGCATAATGATTCCATTGCTGGACTCCCATGTAGTTGACCGTGGTTTAAGTCCTGGATCCGGTGGCTTGAAACTCACCAGATGCATGTACATGCATGCCCAAAATCTCCAGAGGGGAATGGAGGGGAAGGGATCGTGGCATGGCTATTACCCCTGGGGGGGGTGATTTCCTGAATTCTGTCTCTGTGTCTCTGTCTTTCCGGTGAGCACATGTGCCCTAAAGCAAAAATATCTCAAAATAAAAAAATAAAAAAGGCAATTAAACTACAAGGTTCTTCTCCTGTCCCATCTTTTTTTTTTTTCCATCCAAAATACACTGTGCATTGGCTCAATCAAGCACATCCACATACATGTTCTCAGCAAATAATTTTCCAATTCTTACGTCCTGCATACCTTGCCCTTTGTCTTGCCATCCCTGATTCCCCATCCCCCACCCTCTGCTATGTCCCATCTTCCTCCCCCATTGTCCCTGGCATCCATGGTTGCCCTCCATATCCCCCCCCACCATTCAGTTGTTCTGCCAATGAACTTAATTAGTCTAAATAAATCCATTAGCTAGCACAGCTGACACATACCTATACATGTACCCAAGTCTGACTTTAGGCATAGACCCCGGTGAGTAGAGTGAACATACTATAAAGTAGTACCCAGCTGTGCCCATACAGCTCGCTGCAGTCATCAATGTGCATTTTTTTTTCCTCCTGTAACTTTTTTTT